TAATAGGATGTGTAGCACATTTTAGGTGACAACATATGAAAACATGTTTATTGAAGGTCAGGTATTACTGACCTTGTTGTCTTTACTGTTGTTCAGTTGAAGTCTGCATTATTACAGAGGAAGCAGCTGTTATTGGTGCGATTAGCGAGCAGTGTGTCCAGTGGCGTTATCAGCCCTACAGAGCGGCCATCTGACATCACGTTAGTGGCTTTGAGCAACTAATCCACTTCCTGTTTACACCGGCACCCACCCGCATGCCCAGTGTACGTGAAGAGTCACGTGATATTCGATTTCAGGCGTTTAAGTCTGGACGGAGATCATTCAGAAAACGATGCTGAAACGCAGTGTGGACGGAGATCCTCTTATCACTCCCGTAAAATTTGCCTAAAACGCCTATCCAAGGCGTACCCAAAGTAAACTGACAGCTCTTATTGAACCATTGGGAGTACATGTATGGTTTTAGTCTCTATTGAAAGGTAACACTCTGAAGTTTCTCCGCAACCAGTCAGAATCACTGTAAGTGCTCACTAGCATTGAGCTAATGAAGCTAAAACACACTGAAACAGAAGGTTTTTATTTCCGCCTGGATTTTTTTTGGCCAAAAGATGCCTGCAGTTATCTATGGCTGGGTCTTATTAGCTGGAAAACACAATGGTACCATAGCATGAAGTCATAGCACCTGGTACAAGTTCAAATTTGATAACAATACGACAGAAAACGAATATTTTACACATAGTTTACTAAGGGTAAGTCTGCATTAAAGCACTTTTGGACACTCATAGTCACCAGGCGAAATGCCTAGCCTACGATAAACTACATGTTTGTTTTTTGAACGGCAGCTTAGTCATGTTGATATATGGTTATCTACAACGTATTTAACCAGTCAACTTTCACAGATTCTTGAAAATTGTCAGTAACCTGACTTTGGTGTTCAAGATCGGTCATAAGTACCTCACTGACGGTGCAAACATTTACCCAGCTTGCTTGAATCTGCATATCGTTCTCTTCGTAATTTCATTGGCTATAACGAAGCTGAGTTTGAACAAGATCTGTTGCAATTGGCTCGAGCATTACCCAAAGAAGAGAGGCGGGCATTGTCTTTCAAAGCGGACTCTCGTTGGCTGTTCCAGAATGTGACCACGCTATGGAAGCTCCTATTGGGTCAAATGAGGTGTCAATCTAACCGGCAGAATGCAGCCGCCATTTTGAGACACACAGACCGGCAATGTTTACATGTTAACGGGAGATACGACTAAAAATACATAGAAAATTATCAATATCTACTGGCTAATTTGAAATGATGCAACAGCCCCCCGTGGGTGTTTATGGACGTACTAATGTATTTTGGACTAAATCTTTTACTAGATTGGATCGTGTGGACCCTTAGCCATCTAGCAAGACTGTTTTTGGTGGATTATCAACGATGAGGGAAACGCTATGAATCATAATCGGTGAGTGACAGCGATATTTTATTGGCTATACATGACACAACTGGACACTGAACACTCTGATGGCCCGCGGGCAGGCCGTCAGAGTGGCAACAGGAAATAGGAAATAGGAAAACGTATTAGTGTGGATGTAGACTCAGGGAGCCGAAGAGCTGCAGGTTGCCGACCCCTGGCCTAGTGATTTTATTAAACAAAGCACTCAAAGCAGCAGACTCACTAGATCTGCTTCAAGAGGTGATTGTGTCATTTCACATAGGTCAAGCTCGTTTAGCAAATCTACATTCTCTGTGAAGGCAGCACACTCGTGGAATGCTCTGCCACCACACAGACCCACAAAAAACACGTACTGTAGGTGGGTTTGTTCTGCCTGACGCATGCTGCAGCCTGTTATGTCTGCTTGGCTCTAGTGTCTTATATATAAGCAAAAGAAAAGTGTACATATTTGTTTTGTCTATACGTTGCTGTCTGTTTATCTATGAATTTTAATTCCATTTTCAGTTGACGTTTTGTCATTTTAGGCTGCCTTCAAACATCTGGCCAGGGACAGCAGAACTAGCCTCTCTGGCCAACTCTGGCTCACTTACAGTGTGACTGTTGATTGGTGTGCATTGTCCCTGCAAAACAAACAAACAAACAAACTGGTGGCTTGTTACTTTATCTCTACTAGCATGATGAATATCATGGATACTTTATTTTATTTCATGCAGAGGTAGTGGTTGGTACCCAGATCACATTCCCCATCTGAAGATAGTTAAAAGTTTTTAGTACAGAAACCGATTTAATGAATAATTGTAAGCCATCTTTAATGATAACCACTCCTCTGGTTGCAAAAAGAAGTCTGATTGTACGGAGGTCTATGAGAAGATGAGCCTACTTCTCACTTAATTTATCAGTAAACATTGGAAAATGAGTTTATGGTCTCAATCTCTAGTTTCAAGTCTTCAATACGACATGATGTTCATTTAGTAAATTATGGTTTGTTTAGAGTCAAACAGACCATAAAGCAGAGTATGCTTTAGGGCGGGCTTACAGTGATTGACAGGTAGCTACTGCTGCTGGAGTTGTATACAGTTTCTCTACGTCAGTCCAAATATGGTCACTTCTGTTCACCGGTTGCAAAAAAAAAGACATTTGCAACAGCCAAAGTCCAAGATGGCAACAGCCAAGAAGCTTGAGGCTTCACAACGGCAGTTCGCAAACCAACAAGTGACGTCATGAAGACTCCATCCATTTATATACAGTCCATGGATAAGTACCTCGTTAAAGGCTCTGGGGTAGTAGTTCTATGATGCCCCTGTGTGCCTCCTCAAACTGTTGTTTTCACACGTTTTCTTTGTCTCCGTTTATGCCGTTACTATAAACTGGGATTTAATTGACAGTTATCTGCTGTTTAGTCCCACAACAAAAGTGCACTGAAGTCTAAAGACAAAGGCGGCCATATGGTGGTTTTCACATATTTCTTGACTCTTACACGACGTTACATCAGAGACGCCATATCCTAATTGGAACTTCCTTTTGTACAACATTCCTTTGTATGTCTTCCTGTCACTTAAAGAACAAATAGCCAGAAATCCCTCATTGGTGTAACGACTTTAATTGGAGACAGATTGATTTGTACATCGTAACCATGTTCATAAAGTGCAACACAGAACAAAAGCTCAAACTATACATCTTTTTCCTCCCTCCTTAAATACTTCACTTGTATTTATAACCCAATATGAAAATATTTTTCCTGACCATTCCTCGTGGAACACGCAACACGTCAAGTTAAAGCAAAGTGACATACACACACAGTATGTGAAAGTCTTCACCTTCATCCAGTGCACATTTCAGCCAGGTTCCATTTCATCACGCAGGAGTTGGAAGGTTAGAAAGGTGAAGCTGGGTGTCACTTAAAGAGAGAAGTCCCACCCCTTTCGCTACCTTATTTCAGAAAAGTCAACGGTGAGAGACAAATATGATCGTGTTTGAATAATGCCATGAATATGATGTTTGGCAATTTAAAAGAATATTTTTTGTCATAAAACTGTTGAAGTATAAGACTTTTAAAATGCTTAATTAGAAAGACTTCACACCCAAAAGCTGCTGAAGCTATGATGTCGTGCCTGTGTTTCACACCAACACGTCTTGTGCAATTCATGGCACAATTCAAACAGGACCAAAAGATAAATTTGTCTCTCGCCATTGACTAGCATACATATTTATTCCCATATCAGGTCCCATGGGGAACACCGGAGGGGGCGTGGCTTAGCCTCTCTATTACCTATGAGGGAACACGTGATGTCTTTTAAAGGGACTGTGGTGAGATTCAGTCGAGTGAATATGATCCAAAATGTACTCTCTGGAATACATGATGTGAAGTTTAAGTAAACTATGACAGATAGAGTTCTTCCCTAGGAACTGTGTATATACAGCAGGAGAATAATCCAAAGGGACACCTCGAAAACAAAGAAATCAACCAGCTCATAATATGTTTCACTGTCAAAGTTCAAATACATTTTGGTGGCAATTCATCATCCCGTCTTTCCATCTGACTCCTGGCAGCAAAGCGAATGAGCTGTTCCTTGTAGCATCATTTTAGAGTTTGTCTATGGATTACTAAACACAATGCTTGTAAATAATTGGGTAAAAAAAAACAACTTACGTTTTGACGGTTTTTGCGATGAAAAACGGATTTATTCGAGCCGATTTTTGCACAGCTCTGCCCGCCAAGTTCTGCTGCATGTCTGTGAGTGAGATCAATGCGCTGGCGGAATGAATCACAAAATGGCAGACGATTCTGTGGGGTGGAGCAATCCATGTAGAGAGGGGGGGTTCGCCCAGCATTTTGCGATTTTTAGTCAGTGAACAGACCCGGATACGATCAAACACCCCTGCATGGCTCCCGTTGGACTATCCCGCATCTAAAAATGTCTGACACGAGTAAATCGGCCTTACCAAAGTCACATAGACACACATTATGAGCCATTTATTGTTATGAATGACAGATATGACACATCATAACTGCTCAAAATTATTCAAAATGGTGTCAAACTGATTTATTAGGATTATTGAACACTCTTAGTGATAAGAAAAGTGAATATATAGTTAATATTTAGTTATATAGTATATAAAATTAGTATACAGCAATGCAACAGCTGGTTCCGAAAATCAAAATTTTGATTTTTATGACCATTTATGCTGGCCTGCTTCACTCAATCAAAGTAAAATATGTTGTGGGGACATGTAAAACGTGTTGTTCTATGACTGTTGCGTGGTTTTAGGCTTGCAGCTGCATTATTTAAAAAAAAAAAAATGTTCAATACAAGTGCTTTTTTTCAGGCGAACCTAGAAATTTTTCAATTTGAGCTGTGCCATAAGTGTATCAGTTATTAACCAGTAACATATACACAATATTTACACAATTCAACACATCTCACAAGTGTTACCAGTATTCTAGCATCAAAATTATTAAAATAGACCTTGTAGTTAGAGCTTGGGACTCTCTTGAGTATGGCTATGCAATTTTCGAGCAGAGGCCTAAAAATAGGGCTAGGGTCCTATGAGTTAAGGTTTTTTTGAAGCACTTATTTATGTATTCATATTTCTACAAGTGCTGATTTATTAAGTTATGTCAACTCCAACCCCAAATCCACTCACTTTTTTTTTTTTTTTTACAAACAAAAACATTAACACATACAACAGAGCAAATTCAACCAGCACATGATAAGCCTAAAAATACAACATAATCAGCATTCAGAGCAGAAGCACCGTAAACAATCAGAACTCAAACTAATGAAGTCAACTGATCGTCATTGCTTCACACGAGGAGCTTCTGTATATATTCATACATCTGTGAAGGGAAAGAAACATAGTTTCATTCCAGCTTAAGTTTGGAATGACCTTACTGTTAACTGTACATACGTTTCATGTACTCTACCAGAAGAAGTACACATCCTTGAGGAGGATCAACGGCACACCTGACCACTTTGAAGAAGCACAAAACACATGACAGGAGTGCAAAATGATATGAACACATCAACATAGCTGGATCCTATTTGAGGTCAACACATGTCTACAGACAAGTTGAGCAGCCATTTGTAAAGATCTGTGTCATGTGTGATGTTAGAAGAAGAGAAATAAAGATAACAAAATGTGAGGAATTTCTTAATTTCTAACATTTTAACCCTCAAAACGAAGAGTTTATTGGATGATCAGGGAACACTGAGGATGCGTATTGTGAGAACCAGCTTACAACAACAGCGAACAGGTCCAGAGAATGTGTGTAAGACGGGAGAGTCAACATTAGGAACAACTTTGTTGACTGTGACCTGCAAGCTTTTAAGTGCAAACACTAAATCCAGATCCCAGAAAGCTCTAATGGGGGAATGTTGTTTCTGCCTTTAGTGGTCATCGACTAGTCTTCAGTAGATTATACAGTACAGTGAGAGGTGTGTGGACACCCTTTCAATGCTCCAGTGATATCGACAACAATAATATTAGTATTAATAATGCTATACTGTATATTTGAACCTGAATGAGCACAGATCATCACTTTGTACCCAGCTCAAGGATCATGAATGCATAGACGTGTGGCTCCGACGCCAGCAGCATCGTTCACATGCTTAACTGCCAACAGGGGTAGATGTAGTTCTGTAGAACAATCTCCATATATGTCACCAGTAAGTGAATTTTCCAATAACATCTCTGGGAAATCAATTGGCAAAGTGCATTGATTTGCAACAACTTGCAAACACAACGGTACACATTTAAAAGATGGTTCCCTCTGTAAAACAGGCAGAGTCCGGACCCGACTGAACACAATCGGTACTGACAATTTTAAGACCCGGACCCAAGAACAGAAGACTGCCTTGCTGTATTCCTGCAGTCTGCGTCTGTGGCAGACTGTGTTTTCTTCAATTTTCTACAAATTACATTTTAAATGAACCAAACTCAACCGGCCTAAACCCTTTTTCAGGTGGGCCTAGAGTTCTGTTTGTTACCTGAACTCTAAGGCAGGTCGGGTCCAGATAATCCTTGGCCAACTCTGAAAAATCTGCATTTGGGATTAAAGATTTTGCACAATGTAAACATGACTTACTATTTGTTTAATGTTGAGATCATGGCAGGAAAGCAGCGACTAGCTCTCTTAGCGTAGCGACATCTTATGAATGTGTAGTGACAAACAGCAGAAGGGATCCACCATGCTCGCACACACACACACAGTTAAACAGAAGTACAGCAGTGCTCTGAGAACTTAACTTCTCAGTGCACATCTGTATTCTTGATATTATATCGCTGCTCTGTACTTCATCAGTGTCCCAGATAAAAGGCATAAGTAGCATTTCAACAATGATTATTGATGTGGGAATGTGTACCTCTGCTGGCCACTGAGCTTACATTAACTGTCAAATCTGTTACATTACTTCTGAGCGTGGAAGTGGAACTGTTGACTTTGTGATGGTACAGCTTTACGTTAGCATGCTATGTCACATTTAAATACTTGTTTGTGGTTACTGGGAGCTTTTACCAGTTTTAATACTTCTCTTAGCTTTTCATAAGAAATGGAGCAGTGCCCTCTGCAGGCTGCAAGGGGACTCCATTCTGGCAAATGCTAAATGCTACACATAGCTCTTTTGAACACTTGAGGAACACCTCTCTGTCCTTGTCCCTCTTAAACTCCTATACAAAGCAGCTGCCCTGCCACTATCTAGACCTAAGCTGAAAGTAATGCTCCAGACAGTGGGTGTTGATGCTCCAGTACAATATCCCAGAGAGTTAGCTGGAATGTCTCCTTAAATGGCCTGAGAGAGGATTGATCTCAATCCAACCGGACCAATCAGAGGAGAGATGGACGAAAGGTGGAGGCAAAAAGGTGGAGGCAAAAAACAATTTAGATCAGCAGAAATGAATTTCTCTCTTCCAGTCTTTCCTCCTCTGGAATTTCTTGTTTGATCTCATTCTCTCTCTTTTTCTCTTCTTCCTATACGTCTTCTTCCTCTCTGTCTGTCTGTCTGTCTGTCTCTTGTCAGTAGCGTGTAGAGTACCAGTCATTGTCAGTCATCTGAACAAGTTCGTTGACCACGTCCAGCAGGTTGTAGTTGTATTTCTTCAGCAGCCGCTGGTTCAGCGGCCGATCCCCAAAACCCATTTCCACCAGCACGGCCATCATGGTGTCCTGGGTGGATGCATCCACTGGAGGCTGCATAGAAACAAGAAACATATTGACCTAGGCGCGGCAGGCCTAGCTTTGGATTTCTCCACATGTTGAAGCAGTGTGCCTGGGGCTGTCCTAATTAATACAATATGTGGTGATAGTGTGGTGACTCTCAAAACCACGATCGATGTTAAACTAATAGTTCACATTTTAGGATTTGTGGGACAGTGGCTCAGACTGCAAACAGAGTAGTGCTATGATGCTGGATGTGATAAATGGAAATGCAGATCCTACTGTTCCGATTGGATGACATTTTTTTAACTTTGTTTTACTCCGATTGTTTGCATATGGTGTTGTGTTTTTCATACTATCAGTTTTCTTAAGATCAGATTTAACACATCTCAATAATACCCTGTTAAGAGTATCGCAATATATTGAATGGTAACCCCTGTATCACGATACGTATCCCCAGAGTCTTACCAATACACACCCCTAGATAGTAGATATAAAACGTTTAAAAGAAGAATGTGATGTGTTTACGACTTACATATTCAATGTGTAGTATTGTACTGTGTGTAAGCTCTATTTGATCAGAGTTTAGGCTAATGTTAGCAGTTCTTACTGCTCTATTGGATTCAGGAAAGTTTATACTTCAGCAAACCCCAGCCACTCCTTTTCGTGACAGAGTAATGTGCGCCAGTGTCCCGTAAAGATGAATGAAGTGTCGACCTAAACTGACGTTATCCATAATTCACAGAAGTAGGAACATGTTGTATCGGCTCAGCCTCGGTATTGGAAGATATACAATACTGAAGGACTCTGATTGGGATCAGGGCCAAAAAAAAAAGCTGATTGGAACGTCCCTAGTCGAGACTTTAAGACGACTTGTTAACAACATGAGGTATGATATAATATTGCTAGATATAAACCGCATGCTGACCTGTGTGGGACCTTGTCCAGTGAACAGAGCTTTGTAGGCAGACGCAGCTACTGACAGAGCTCCTTTCACCAGGCCGCTGGTGAGGCCTGGGTGCCTGAGAAGCGACAGTAAAGAAGTTACGTTCAAAACGTGACTGCTGTGTGAAAGCCTTGGCTCCATCTCCAATTCAGCACTTCTACACAAATTATGACGTATTAAATTAGAAAATCTGTGTAGATTTATTGTCATGTTAATAACAGTGCTAACAAGCTTGCTAGCTGACTGTTGACAAACAGTTAGCAAGCTTATTGGTTCAGATAAAGCTTTTGAAATAATGAATGTATAATATCGAGAACTTAATGCCAGCGGATACAAAATAAACCAGAAGAAAAAAAAATGAAAATCTGGTGCTTTTGTGACTAGCGCTAGCATGTTCCGCCTAGCTAGTGCGTTAGTGGTTAGCTCACCAGCTAATAGTTCACCAGTTAGCCACCACCATGTAAGCTAGGGGCCTCGATGCAGCCAGCAGTACAAGACGTTTCCTTTATTCAAACTGCTGAGTTTGAATGTGTGTGTGAAGGTATGAGTGTGAGACCTGGGGTCCTCAGGGATGTCCTCTGTGTCTTCAGTAACTTCAGCATCATCTGTCTGAGTTTGTTCAGGACCAGAGACTGTGGTACAACAAAAATAATACATTATCCCTCAACATCTATGAAAGATGTTGGTATCAGAATGACCAAGAAGACACTTAAAGCTGCTGTACTTCGGTACAGCCTCAGAGCGCTGCAAAGTGTTGCTGAAGACTCTTAGATCCTTTTCACATTTGAAAGTCCAAACCAAGGTTTGCGTTTTTGTTACACATTTTACATTTGTTTCGATGAGTGTTTTTGGTTTTACAGTGCAATTATGCAGCAACACTAAAGAAGTATACATGACATATCTACCGCCCCCCAAAACCTAACCCTGTTTTCCCTTCTGATCTGTCTGAATTTCTCACACAACTTTGCACCATCTCTCCATCCATTCTGCTACTCGGTGATTTTAACATACACGTCGACTCATCTGACTCCACAACTTCTACAGAACTCCTGGACATCTTTAACTACTTCAACATCACCCAACATGCCGACTTTCCCACCCATAACAAAGGACACACACTTGACCTGGTCTGCACATCCGGCATTACCACCAGCAATCTAACCAGCTCACCTCACCATCTCTGACCACCTGGCTATCACCTTGGACACAGACATCCCCACCCCCCATGTTAAGCAGAATCACACCATAACATTCCGGAACGTCAAGTCCATCAACATCTCCTCGCTCTCCTCCACCTTGGCTGCCACTGTCTCTGCCCCTATTTCGACTGCCTCCCCCACTGCCCTGGTCAAGTACTATAATGATGCACTCTCCTCCTGTCTTGACGTCATCGCCCCCAAAAAATCCAAACTCATCTCCTTCACCCACTCCGCCCCCTGGTACACTGACCGACTTCGCCTCCTCAAAGTGCAGGGCCGTCAACTGGAACGTCTTGCCAACAAAATTGGACTTACTGTTCACCTTGATGCCTTCAAACTCCACCAACAGCAATATAAAGATGCCCTGAACACCGCTCGCTCCTCTCAATACTCCTCCATCATCCAATCTGGCTCCAACAACTCCAAAACGCTTTTCTCCACCATCAACAAACTCCTCAAGCCCATGGACACCATCTCCACCTCCTTCACCACCAGCAAATGCAACTCATTTCTATCCTTCTTCAACGACAAAATCATTGCAATACACAACCAGCTGGCAGCCCCCCCCCCCTACCACCCCCCAAGCCCTCAACATGACTCTCCCCTACTTCCAAGCCACTCACTCTCATCCTTCAGTTCAATCACTGAAATGGACCTCTCCTCCATACTCTCCAGCATGAAGACCTCCACCTGTGCCCTTGACCCCCTCCCCTCTTCCTTAGTCAAGGCCTGCCTCCCATCACTCTCCCCTCTCATCACCAACATCATCAACTCCTCACTGTCTTCTGGTCTCATACCCCCCACACTCAAGATCGCTGCTGTCACCCCGTGCTGAAAAAAGCTGGTCTTGACCCCGACATCCACAACAACTACCGGCCCATCTCCAACTTCCCCTACCTGTCCAAAGTCCTTGAGAGAGCTGTTGCATCACAACTCAAGTCCCACCTCAATCTCCATAATCTCTACGAACCCTTCCAATCCGGCTTCCGTTCAAAACACAGCACAGAAACCGCCCTACTGAAAATCACAAATGACATACTTCTCTCTGCTGACTCTGGCTTCCTCTCCATCCTCATCCTCCTTGACCTGAGCGCCGCCTTCGACACCATCAACCACTCCATCCTCCTCTCACGTCTCCAGTACTCCCTTGGCATAACTGGCACTGCCCTCTCCTGGTTCACCTCATATCTCTCAGACCGACATCAATTCATTGCAATAAACAACTGTAAATCCTTTACCTCCCCAGTCACCCACGGTGTCCCCCAAGGTTCCGTGCTTGGTCCCCTCCTCTTCATCATTTACATCCTTCCCCTTGGACAAATCATCCGTCGTCATGGTCTCAACTTCCACTGCTACGCTGATGACACCCAACTCTACTTCTCCACCAAGACCATCACCTCCGTCACCCACTCCACTCTCACCACCTGTCTCACTGATATAAAATCATGGATGCAACAGAACTTTCTCAAACTCAACTGCAACAAATCTGAAATACTACTCATCGGCCCTAACTCCCTCACCCGCTCAGCCCAGCCCTTCTCCCTCAACATTGATGGCTCCATCGTCACCCCCTCCACCCAGGTCCGCAACCTCGGTATCATCCTCGACCCCACCCTCTCTTTTCTACCCCACGCCAACCACATCACCAAAACTGCCTTCTTTCACCTCAAGAACATTGCACGCCTCCGACCTTCCCTGTCCTCTGCCACCACCGAAATTCTCATCCATGCCCTCATAACCTCCAGACTCGACTACTGCAACAGCATCCTCTACGGTTCTCCTAACAAAATCCTCAATAAACTCCAATATGTTCAGAACTCTGCCGCTCGACTGCTCACTTCCACCCACCGCTATGAACACATCACCCCGGTCCTTCGCAACCTCCACTGGCTCCCGGTCAAATACAGAATAGACTTCAAAATACTACTCACCACCTACAAAGCCCTAAACAACCTGGCCCCTCCGTACCTTTCAGACCTCCTCCACGCCCCAACCCGTTGCCTCAGGGCCGCCGGTGCAAACACTCTGAAGACCATCAGGAGCAAGTGCCGGACCTGGGCCTTCTCAGCTGCTGCACCTCCCCTCTGGAACGCCCTCCCCATCCACATCCGTGAGGCTCCCTCCCTATCATCATTCAAACAAGCCCTCAAAACCCACCTCTTCAACCTCGACTTCACCTGTTAACCCCTGCACCCTACCCTCCATTACATGACCCATTCAGCACAGTTATTCTTTTTTTTTACCAAAATGTTCTGTTTGTTTGTTTTGTTTGCTCCTTTCTCTTTCTTTTTTTGTTGTCGTTTGTTTGTTCTGTTTGTCTTTGCCCTGTAAAGCATCTTTGGGTATTTTGAAAAGCACTATAGAAAATTTATTTATTATTATTATTATTATTATTATTATTATTATTATTATTATTATTATTATTATTATTATATCTGCATCCTGACGTCATCATCTTTGTGAGCTAGGTCTCCCTATACTTACAAATGATTAAGCTTGTGGTGTTGTTAGTTTGGTGGGTACCCTTCTAATGCCATTTGGATAAATGGAGAAAAATTAAGAGATTAATTTAGTTTCCTCTATAATTACATTTTCATGGCATTACTTCTAGCAGCTCCATTGGTACTGTTGCAGTAGTTTCTTGATTTTCACGGCTCATTGCTGTCCTGTCCTTTCGCATCCCCTCTCTCTATCATCCTTTAGGAAAATTGTATTATTGACATTTGATACCTATCATGTGAATTTAAGCTATTTGTGTGTCCTAGCTAATGGTAGCCGCTCTGCACTGCGCTCATACAGCGCTTACCACTGATAATGCCGTCTCAACCCAACTTGGCAGGACGGCGCGGTCATGGAAGCATAACAGTCTCCCTCAGGTTAACACAGTTAGCTCTGTCAGCACTGTTGCTGTTGTTAGCACTGTTTGCGCAAAAATATACAAATAGCTTAGCGAAGGTATTAGCGAAATAGCGACGTGCTTACCATCCTCAGTTTGGTACAGTTCAGAGCCCTCTGTTCCTTCCCCAGAAGTGGCAGGGTCCACATCTGTTTCTCCACTACTCCCTGGACTGCACAACATCAAGAGCAAAAAAACAAAAGAACACTGTCAATCTTTTTATCAAAGCTGCACTGAGGCGTCCGGTAGCAGAGTGGTTAAAACACATACATTTGTTTCATTCCCCTTTCTCTGCCTCCCTGCTTTTCTGTCTGTATCTTTACTACCACCATCAATATAAAATCAAATGCCAAGAATTCTTATTAAAACTAAAATGATGAAAACATCAAAGCTGCAATTAATATTTGTTAAAATGAACAAAAGACAAATTGTTTGTAACATGAAACGTGTCGCTCATAGTGACAAAACGGGCAGGGATTCACCACCATTGTTTAGGTTTGACCGCCTGCAACTTTACTGTTTTGATTTAGTCTCACAGGTCTCATCAAGCTTTTGTTTCCAGCAGCAACAGGCAGCTGTTTTCATCTGCTCAGCATCCAACAGCAGACAATAGAAGTTTGCTGGTGAACACATTGAAGCATAGAGAGCCAGGCATTCTTTCTCACGAGTCCGTGGAGACCAAACCTCCACGGAATATGGCTGCTCCTCTATTCATCAGGTAGACCCAAACACAACTCCAAAAAAATGCTAACGTTGCTCTGTGTCTGCTGGATGTCTAAACAGGCGACATGATGCTATCATGTTTAACTTAACAACAAAGAAAATACAAAGCTGCCTGTATTTACAGCTTGTTGGGGCAGGATCTCCTGGTGGGAACTCTTTCCGCCCCTGGTTGGTCCTCGCCGGGCATATTTACTCTGGGACTGGCTCTAGGTTGGCTTGGGAAGGCCCAGGACCCCGCAGCTTAGTGCTCGCCCTCTCTCCTTGCGGTGAAGACGGAGCTCCCTGCTGCTAGCGGGACCGGGGCGGACTGTCCTTAGTGTGCAACCCACCTGACCCGTCTTGAAACCTGGATCTTAATATTGACCAAAATAATGGTGCCTATGATTTGTGCCATGATCAAGCAGCCCTACAACATCATGTGTGTCACAAATACCATTTTCATCAACTTATTATTTCCTTAGGCCACATATTCTCTTATTGTATTGGCTCTGAAACAAGTTGAATTGAAAAACAAAACACAGGCATTCAAAATTAAGTGATTTGACTTCATTACTTACTAGTAATTAATAATACCAAAGAGTTTTATTTCTCAGAGGAACCTGTTTCAGTGCCAATGGTTCTTGTTTCAGTTCAGATCATGTTTTAAATGGCAAATTTAATTTCCGATGCCACAATGTAACGTCAGTGTCCATAGGTAATGACATAAATCTGTGGTTGTATGTGCTGATGAAATTAGTGCTGTATAAATAAATATTATACTTTATTTAAAATGAATCAAGACAAGAGGTAAACATGGAGGAAGTGATGAGGTTTCATCAGCAGTTGTAAATGTATGCTGCTGTGTTTGTATCCCACCCTTCATACCTTGGTGTGACGATGGCTTGAGGCGGTGCCACCACTTCAGGTGTCAGAGGCTCGTCGTCCAGCGTCTGAGACGTACAAAGCATGTCGTTGGCGCTGCTGGCGCCCGACACCGCCATCCCTGGAGATGCCGCGGCTTCGTCCGCCTGACCAAGCTCCCCCTCTGGGGTTGAACTGCCCGGTTGGTTGGGAGATGGGGTTTCTGGGTCTGTGGGGATCTTGGCTGGGATGTCACCAGGCTGGGACAAAGCAGAGCTGCAATGGGGCAAGAAATAGGGAATTAAAGGGAGCGTGACAACATACACCTTCCATTGAATCTAGTGCAATGCCCGTTCAAAACATGTCTGTTCAGAACGAACCGATTGCTTGCCCTGTGGTGTTGCTGCTTGTTGCAAGCAGCAACACCACAGGTTCTCAAGAACCGCTCATACAAACAACACTGAGCTCTTTTGGGTCCTGAGCAAAACACCTGCCATGTGTTGAAGAAAATCATCATATAACTTAGGATCGAACTGAACACATTTGGTCTCATAAGACAACGGTTTATATAACTTATATTGAACACATTTGGTTACATAAAAACATTCTTAGAAAGGGATTAAGGCACGCCAGACAAATTGTAATACATCACTCCAATTTGTATCCAAACATTTCCCGTACATGAATCGTGTGTTCTGACTAAAGGTTATCTTGACCCAGATGAAGACATGAGAGCATGACATAGTGAGGAGACCAGATGTGCTCCGTTTGTGGTTCAACCCACTGGTTTGATTGGTGGAAAGTGAAGTAAGGGGGGTGAATTTAGACTAGAATAGTGAGCTGTAAGAAGTAATACATTGGATTTGTTGAACTTGTTGAATGTTGGCTTGTGCTTATTAAAACACTTCCTGCTGGGTTGCAACTTCAATTCGCCGTCTCTTCTCCTCATTTTTCCACAACACATGACATACAGGCATCACATGCCCAACTCATGGCTACTCACGGTCAGAAACACAGGTGAATTAAACTGTAGTCAGGAAAAAACACCAGGGACAGACTTGCACCACACACAGAAAGACTTGCTTCATAGTCATTTTAATTATGTATTTTAAATTATAAGGCGGAGTCTGTGATTCTAATCCGATACATTTTTTGTCAAATAATTACTCATGGTCTGTTAGCTGTTCATACACATCCCCGGCTCCCAGACCACCGCTTTAGTCACGTACCTGTACATGGACTCCCCCAGTGGCCGGCTGGTGTCAAAGCAGTCAGGGAGGATGATGATGTAATCCTCCGAGGAGGTGGAGGAGGAGCGACTCCTTGTCCCTTCTCTCTTCTTCCCTCCCTCCTTCTCCTCCTCTGGCCCCTTCTCCACATGGATGTTCTCCATGTGGGACTCCTCACCTTCAACTGTATTGGGATCAAGAATACTGCTGAGTTCCATGGGCTAACAGTACCACCAGGGACGCACAGTTCTGTGTCACTGCAATTTCTTAAAACAAGATTACGGCTATAGACCTTGTTTAGAGTTGTTAAACATGATCAAGTTGCGAACAGATGTATGGCGGAGTGTAATAGCTGTGCAAAGGCATTAAATTGGCTTTAACAAATGTTGGCTGACTTCCAGATCTATGTACTATTAATGAGGCCTAATATTTAGTGTCAGATTGTAAACTAAAAGCACTCTTCCTCACTCAGGAGACCGCTGTAAGTCCCCCGCGGGAAACGATGAGTCAACGTTGATGTATCGATTATGTAACTTGCATACTTATTTTAAATCAAAACACAATCTAATCCTAAACCTAACTAACTAGTTTTGTTGACAAACCTAAGTAAGTTGATTCCTCTGAAGACGGAAGTTGACAGTTGTGTTGTACAGAAAATAAGGAGGAACTTCTTACGAACCATTGAATGAGGATAAGTTGAACAGCTGAGACAAACATGCAGGCACCACTCTGACATTTATGAAGAGGTATGATAACACCATCGAGTACTGTGGATGTAACGTTATCTTTTGTATTTCTATCAGAAAGAATGTAGGCCGACGCCACAAGTGGAAATGATAAGATAGCAGTGTTATTTTGACTAGTTCTCAGGAGGTCTCGGTCGTATTTTGCGTATTCTTGCCGTGCTGCTAGTTAGTAGTCTGCTTTTTTATTTCTAACTGATGATTGCATGTAGTGTGCATGGACCCAGTAGTAGAGGTGAAACACTGACCCCCATTTGTTCTGAGCATGTGGCCTGATCTGAATCACCTCTCACTCTGTGCTTCACTGAGATACTGGAAGACTGGGTAAAGCTGTTCATGCTGCTCAGCTTCTACTGAGACTCATTGAGGTTCATCAGTCTATCAACTGGTTTAGATTCCAGTTGTGGCTGTGCTGGATTGATTCAGATTTGTGTGATCCACACATTTCCCATAACTCCAGAGTTTTGTGAAACGTCGAAAGTTGATTGAAAAAAATATATATCTAATCATTTCCGAAATTCCCAACATGCTTTTATCCAACCAAATATTCTTTTCAATCCATATTTGCTGCCGTTAAGCTTTTCATAAACAACATTTTCACTGCTAGAAAACCTGCCAATTTGTAGAGTCCACTATTTAAACAGTGATGCGGCCGGTGCAGGTCATAGACTGTACATAAGAAGTGGACGTAGTGTCACCCATTGGTTTATGGACTGCCGTTTTGAGACCTTGAGTTTGGCCGTTGCCCCCCCTGATGGCCATTAGAAAGAATGCAAGTTTAAGGCACTTCTGGATTGGCTTCACTTTTCAGAACTGGAGGTTGCCACCTGCTACAGGCGCACCTGGCTTTTAAAAGGAATGGGAGATGACAATCTGAGGTCTGTTTTGATTCATATTACGCCCACAACGCACCTATGATTAATAAAGAGTTGAAACATAACCCCTTTGCCCCTTGTGTTTTACTTTTACCATTTAACAACATTGGAGTTGGACATGTCCTAAATGCACTTGCGCCAAGTCTAGTGATGTCATCAGATTCATGACTCAAGTCGAGTCCACACCTCTGCAATAAACTATCAAATCAAAATAATGTGCTTACTCATGTTTAGCCAAACATAAAATGGTCCAATCAAGAACTGTTGTTATGATCTGATGTCAAATGGTATCTCAGCTCAACCCATCTGTTCTCTGCTGTCACCTGTGGCTGTGTGCTCCTGCAGTGTGGAGGACCTTGGCGGAGCAATGAGCGGGGTCGGGGCAGAGCTGGGGCCGGGTCCCAGAGTCAAGGCCATGTACAGGGGAGCCGGCAGGGAGGCTTTCAGTGTAGCCGGTGGTTTCAGGGGGCTTTTAGAGGTGCTGGGGCTGCTGTCTGCACTCTCTTCGGATTTCATTGTTTTACTTTTCACACAGGAGGAAGAGGAGGATGAGCCTCCCTGAGCAGCCGGATGCACCACTGGGGGCAAACAGGAAGTCCACTGTTAAATACTGTACATTAATAGGTTTCTATTTCAATCACGTGCAAACTCATGTAGCAGCAGGCAGAGTACACAACTCCAGTCTGAAATAATGCTGGAGCTGAACACAAGAATCAAATATAGAGCAGTTTACACAAGGGTTTCAACTGTTTGTCTTCACATTGATCTGTAGCATGGCGAATACACAAAAATCCAAAAGCTCATCTGCGAATATTGTATGTCTTGGGCTTTTATTGTGAAAGTGAGTGAGTGAATCGAATCTGTACTGACTTGCCAAAGTCCAAAGAGAGGCCTTTACTCCGCATATTTCATCATTTAACAAAGCCATAGCCAAATTTTAAAGATACTTGTCCTGGGTGACTCATCATACATTCATAGTTGTTTACCAGCCATGATACTAGCTATTTGATTTGACCTTATAGTTCAGTCACTCAGGCTTTTGCAAAACTCACCCAAATTGTAAAAGATACTAACTCACATGACAGTAAGCAATGGGTTCAGAGATGTCGAAGGAGGATAGAAAACATGTCTTTTGGGTTTAGAGTAAGAAAAAAGGACTGATTGCAACAGAGAGAGCTCTCTTCCATTCAAGTCAAAACAAGCCATGTAAATTCAAAGATGGTGCTGGATTGAATTCTCGCTGAAAGACTTGAGCTACTGGACTGACCTTACTGCTGGTCAAAAACTCTCTAGTTTAGCTTAAAAGTACCCAAAACTAGAGGTTGACCGACAGTGGATTTTGAAATGCCTATGTAATAAAAGCTACTTTGACATACACTGTTTTTTAAGCGAGATTTGGTGGATTACATGGTTGGAACATGTTATATTTATTTACAATGGTCGATGCGCTGTTCTGTGGCTTATGATGCATTTCTTCAGCTGTGGGTCCCGTTACACTGTTGAATGACACTCTTACAGAACATTAATGTTCATGCATATTCTCGGGGTTAGAGAGATTTCATTTCATAAACGGATAGTTAGTAAGTAAGTTAACGTAACTGATGAATGATTTATTTTCCTCCATGTCTGGTAACGTGGACAGAGAGCAGACAGTGTTACATCAGAAATAACTTTGTGGGGAGAAATAAAGTGAAAATGGGTCAGATAAGACACTTGTCTGCTTGCTGTCAAATCAGCTGTTCATCGTGACTGTAAAGTGTTAGCCTACATTTTGTAACCCAATCGCCAAAACGAATAATATGTTTCAGAGTTTTTTATAGAGTGGAGAATTGCTTTTTAAAAAAGTTATTTCTGATATAGACTATATTGAAAAAGATAATTTAAAGTCTGTCACGTGTTTATGGCTGGAGCGCACTGCGTGCCAAAGGTGAAAGTCAAACAAACTAAGCTCAACGTCTGCCATTAAAATGACTCTTTTTTTCGATGAGGTCCGGTGGCTTTACAGAGAGCATACATGGATACAACGGTTTCACTTCCCCGTCGATAAAACGATAAGGTGATGCAGTGAAAACATTCTAAATATAGTGTACTCTTTAACGGATATAGATATTTTTTGGAGGGCTTTTGTTTTAGGTTGCTGACATTTGTTTTGCTGACATTCCCATCCACAGCAGCACATTGCTTTGCTTCTGTGTAGTAAACTCTTTTCTGTTTCTTCAAGCTGGCAGCATGCTGACCTCTACTGGTCAGCAGGTGGCGAAAACCAAATCTCCAGGTTCACTGTGACATCTATAAAGAGAGACTTCGCAATTATAATTTGGAATTTAGAAGTGCAAGGCAGTCCTTCTTCTCTGACATCATAACCAAAAACAGTAACGATACACGCGCCTTATTTGCTACCGTCGACAGGCTAACAAACCCTCCAGTGTCGGTAGCTGCTGAGCTCCAATCCACCTGGGCATGCAATCAATTTGCCTCCTTTTTTTACTGACAAAATTCAGAAAATTAGACAAGCAGTCAGTGCCTCCACACCAACCACAGGACGTGTGTTGTCCCCTTCTCTAAATAACATCCATTCAAATATCATGACACAATTTCATTCAATCGACCGTAGAAGCCTAGAAGACATTATACAACATCTGAAGTCATCCTCCTGCTGCTTGGATATTCTACCAACACACTTTTTATAAAATATTTCAAACTGCATGACCACTGATCTTTTACAAATAGTAAACACATCCCTTCTCTCAGGTGTCTTCCCACAAGCCCGAGAAACTGCAGTTATTAAACCGCTCCTAAAGAAGGCTAGTTTAGACTCCGCAACAATGAACAATGATAGAACAATATCAAACCTCCCATTGTTAAGTAAAATAATTGAAAAAGCGGTTTTCCAACAGCTGAACAACTTCTTGGCCGTAAATAACTGCTTTGATGTCTTCCAGTCAGGCTTTGGACAGCACCACAGTACTGAAACTGCTCTTGTTAAGGTTTTCAACGACATCCACTTAAACACAGACAATGGCAGAAGTTCAGTCTTAGTATTACTGGATCTCAGTGCTGCATTCGACACGGTCGACCATGCCATACTCCTAGAAAGACAAAAAATCTGGGTGGGACTTTCTGGCACAGCACTTAACTGGTTTGAATCCTACTTGAAGGACCGAGAATACTTTGTGTCTGTAGCTAATTACACATCAGAGCTGACTAAAATGACATGTGGTGTTCCCCAAGGTTCAATACTGGGGCCTCTTCTGTTCAACATCTACATGCTTCCACTAGCTCAGATTATGGAAAACAACAAAGTGTGCTATCATAATTATGCAGGAGACACACAAATCTACATAACTATGTCACCAGGGGACTATAATCCCATACAAGGGCTGGGTAACTGCATTGAACAAATCAACAACTGGATGGGCCAGAATGTTCTTCAATTAAACAAAGATAAAACAGAAGTAATTGTTTTTGGTACCAAGGACGAACAATTGAAAATCAGCGCTCAGCTTCAATCACTGATGTTAAAACCCACAAACAAGCCAGAAATCTAGGTGTAGTTCTGGATTCAGACCTCAACCTGAACAGCCATATCAAGACACTGCAGCTTGAGTCCTCACTAAGACCAGGAGGGTGGATCACATCACTCCAGTTCTGAGGTCTTTGCACTGGCTTCCTGTCCAACAAAGACTTGACTTTAAAATCCTGCTGTTGGTTTACAAAGCACCGAATGGTTTAGGACCAAAATACATCTCTGATGTGCTGCTACCTTATGAACCATCCCGACCCCTTAGGTCATCTGGGACCGGTCTACTTCCTGTTCCCAGAGTCAGAACTAAACATGGAGAAGCAGTGTTCAGTTTTTCTGCTCCACATAGTATCTGGAACAAAGTCCCAGGAAGCTGCAGGTCTGCTGAGACCCTCAGCTCCTTTAAATCAAGACTGAAAACTTTTCTGTTTGCTGCCTTTAATTGAACCACATTCAAGGATATTAATACATTTCTGCATTTCTGCTTTTTACTACTGTATTTTATTTCTTACCCTGCTTTTTAGTGTTTTAATGACTGTTTTTAATGTTTCAATGAATGTTTCTTAATTGTTTTTAAATCTCCTTTTCTTTTGCCTTATGTTTTGATGCTTTTAATGGTTTCATGTGAAGCACTTTGAATTACCTTGTTGTTGAAATGTGCTATACAAATATACTTCCCTTGCCTTACTGTAGGTAATACACTGACTATGGAGAAGTACTTCATACTACCACAATTCAAAACACGCAAACTATTACTCCAAGTTCAGGAACTTGGAGTAAATTGGGGGGAGTTCAGTGGAAAGTAAAAGCTAATGGCTCCACTGAATTCATGTGACACAAAAGATCAGAATGTAGAAACATTGCCTACCATCCAATGAGTTCATATTTTCAACATACTTTCCAATAACGGATTTCATGAGCTGCTGGGTCCAGGAAGCCTGAAGGCCCAGGTTCTATCAGGTCACTATCCAGGGCTGTGATATGTAGATATGCATTTGTTCCACATTCCAAAATGATAAGATTTTGGAAGAAACGTACACTACATTCTCACAATGCTGGATTCATTTATTCAGTTTCATTTTTCTACACTTTTACTGCTAGTCTTATCAACAAAGTAAAAAAAAAGTTCTCCGTTTAAAAGTTTACAGCCGTAACCCTGCTGACTGATGTTTACCTGGCTCTGGGCGGGACCCTCTCAGAGGGGCGCGGTCAGGGGCCTCCTCCAGGGTCATTGAGCGAATCACAGTCTCGCAAACAAACTGAGTCCCGCTGATGTCATCCTCCCCTTCCTCCTGAGCCAGGACTCCGCCCCCCTCTGCTCCAGATCCCACCCCATGAGGGACATCTGTGGACCAGTAGCAGATGGACAGATGTTATGTCTGTTAGACCTTTATCAGTGCCAGGTTCTTCCTCTTGCATACATTGAGAACCACTGCTGACCATAAATACCAACAATCCCCAGTGGTCTGCAGGTAGAATCGCAGGAAAAGCGATTCCTATGCAGACACACAAACGAACTCTACCGTCCACCATGGACTTATTATTGATAGATTGTTAATGATGATGCGGTGCATTTCAGCTGTTATTTGGAAACCAAGGAAATAATGTCTTTCAGAGTGAAATGATGCCCATAATGCATTTACTTAATCTTGTTTCTCAGCATGACACCCTGTTTACACTTGGTTTTAAAATGCGTCTTGCACGATCGGATCAGTGGTTTACAAAGTGCATCGCTGCCTCTCATTGGTTAAAGAACAATGCATTTGGCAAAACGAAAATCATGTACATTTATATTTGCATATAGAGGGAAAGAGATGCCAGGTGTGAACAGGGCCTAAGGGACACAGAGGATCAGTTAGTGACAAGTGTTACATCCAGGTATCACTCAGGCCAACTGAATGAATCAAATGCATATCAGAATTAAGCATGGTTCTGTCTTGAGGATGTGAAGATGAAACCATCAGGTCTGTGCTTGACTGTAGAATTTATCTTCATGCTGCAAACTCCACCTTTAAACCAGTTCGTGCAGTTTCTCGTTGTGCTTTGCATTTCATTACAGGAGATAAATAAATATGGCACTTATCACCAAGACTATATGAAGAAGTAGGCTGGTCCTCAGTAGCAACAAGAAGAGAAGGACATTCTATCACTTGAACTTGTCCAGCTGCCTCAGTACATCCCTTGTCTTCTCTCTCTGTCTGAAATGTTTTTAATCTGCTTGGAAGAGGTTCAGGGTACTGGACTTCCAAAGGGAAGTATTGACCATATATGGCATGGATGTAGAACAGGTGAAATGTGTCATGTTCTTTGTATTAGGGTGCGAGTATATCTGTTTAATAAATACAAACTTCTGTGTTAACACGTTAAACATTTCAACTTGTTCTGGCCATGCTTTGATAAATGAGGCCTCAGATCATGTTCAGCTGTCACTCAGCTGTCTTGCTCCATTTTAGACTTTTTTTTCATTTACCAACTTATCAACAAAACTTTATCAAGAGCCTTAAAAACCTTTGAATAGAAAACTACTTTACCCATGATGCTATTGATGACTTCTGTTTCTTCCTGGATGAGAGCCAGAGAGGGACTGCCCTTGTCCTGCAGGTGGCCCTCTTGAGGCAGAGGGGACATGCACGGAGTAACGTCTGGATGGAAAGAAACGTCAGTCAGGTCTCTAAAGACACCAACAAGCTCCCTTAAGCAACTGCAAACTAGAAGAACTCTTATTACCAGCAGGGGTGTTGTTTGGGACACTCTCCAACTCTTGGACGATGTTGATGTCCAACAGCTCAAAAGATAGAAGATCCTGAGAGATGAACAGATAGATAATAAAGTGCCTTTGAGCTACATTATGGGAGATATAGGAGGGTGTGTTTCAGGAGTTAGGAGACCCATACTACGCATTCAAAGTCAGGATATCGCAGCTCCTGTTTAGAGTTCTGGGATCCTTCCACACTGATCACCAATTACAATCCAGTAATACAATATATATGATATGAATAAATGATTCTGAAAAGGGCCAATCTGCATAATGACTACTTTTACTTTTGGTACTTTTGGAATTATACATCTGTACTTTTACAATACTTAGAATTTGAAATGCAGGACTTTCACTTGGTTCTTTCTACATTGTGCTCACGGCTACTTGTATGAAAAGTAAAGGATCCAAGTACTTCTACCACCACTGTATGTATGTTAAATATTAGACAACAATTTGATTGTTTGACTGTGATTATGAGGTTGCTCAAGTGTAATTATGCAATTTCATAAACCTATAAAACAATACATTAAAGAACATGCTGGTGTATGATCGTCTTACGTCAAAGGGTGATCTGTCGTTACCCATTGGCTTCCGCGGCCTTAGTGCAAAGTGTACAGAAAGGTAATGATTGCAGATTGTACTACCTGTGCAGTGAGCAGGTCCACAGAGGGGATGTAGTACTCCTCTTGGTCCACTGACATTAGTGGCTGCTCCCTTGCTGCACTGGCTTGTCCATCCTTCACAACTGGGTTCCTACCCTGCAAACAAAGTCAAATCTTTTGTACTGTATATGTATCAGTGTGTATTTCTGATAATCCATAGAAGGGTCTAGCTGCAGAGTTCCAGGCTTAGGCCTACCTCCTCCGTTGGACCCTTTATGGTCCCGAGTTTGAAGAAGGACGTGACGCCTGATACTGTGTATGCCAGAGACGATCATCAGGTGGGGTAAAGAGGAACCTCCTGTTTAGAGCTATGAGCCTGGACGCAAAGGCCTACTTGCAGAAGCAAAAGCCTAAACAATGGGACAAAGCCAAAATCCCACCAGATCCTGAAAATCTGAGTGTGAGATGTGGTTTGAAATCAGGTCCTGAGCTCCCATTGGCGGAGGTCTCACCAAGGATATAAAATGTAAAGTAGAATGCTGTGATCCCTGCCTTTCTACTGCAACATCAGTTGCTACAGGAGGTCAACAAACGTTTGTGTCTTTAAGTAACCGAGGCAGACTCCCAGCCTTGATGGATGGCTTTGGACCACATTTTTGGATCCTGTTAACTTAAAGATCACTATGCAACTAGCAGTCTCAGCCTGCCTGAAGAAGGAAGACATAGACCACCAGCTTTCACCAAAGAGAAGGATAATTTATACGACCCGCTCTCTTTAAAAAAAAAAGAACCATGTAATCTCTTCTAAATAAGTCGACTCTTGTTGTTTTCATCCACTGCCATACCAGGATCAGCTGCCATTAACCCACGGACGGACGACACAACGGCCCCATTATTGTACGAGTTTTGGTGCTCAGAACTGCTTGTAATAGAGTAGAACACTTTATGTGCCTTTTAAAGAACAGTTCTCTGCATTATTTCTGTATATGTATTGTGATGAAAGTCGTTTGTGATGCTCATTGCTCTAGCGTTTGTGGTGCCCCATAATACCTAATACATAAATGTATCAATATTAATAATTCTATAAATATTAATAGTCATTTTTGATAATTGCTAATAACCAAACCTGCTTATATCAGATCCCAACCATAGCATGCGTTGATTTGTTTGAATCGGCCACACAATCTCCAACAATAACACCAACAATACAACTTTATAACTGTAACGTTAAGCAGCAAATAACTTGTACGAAATGTATGAGTTTGTTAACGTTAGTTAGTTAGGCTAATGTCGTCAGCAAACTAAAGTTTTTGAAATGATTACATTAATCTTTTTTTCCCGTTTTTGTGCTAACGTTAACGTTTGTTAACAACATTAGCATAGCTAGCTAACATTAACAAACTCAGGTTAGTCAAAGTTATTTGCTGCTTAACATTACGTAACCTAACTTTAGAAGTTATAGTTATATCCAAATGCACATGATACAATGGACATGGCACGATATTCACTAAAGGTATAATATGTTACAATTGTTGGTTGGTGTTTGTAAACACAGCATTCAAACTTGGCTCCTCCTCCTGAGCTCAACGAGGAGAGAGAACAGTGATTGTCGAGCGAGCTATAGAGTGAATGAAGAGAGGAAGCGGCCATAGGGAGAACAAAGCAGGAAATCAGAGATTGTAATGCGGTGGTTACATTCCAAAGCACAAATAAACACATCCACACCTACTAACAGCCCCGCGGGAGGGTGCAGAGTTGCCGGATTTTGAATAAAGGCTTCTGAAGGGCACCCTACATCCCGTCCAGAAACGTCCCAAACACAGCAAAAGAAGAAGAAAATGGAAAATACAGGCAGAGGGCAGGGTCTCCGCAGATACAGACACCACCACACACTTCTAGTGTGTCACAAGTGATGATCATATCATTATATTCAGGACATTTCTGCATATCATACCTTTAACGATAAGCGTGATAAAATACTTGCATTATACAGCAGCATGTCAGCTTTAATAAAGAAGAGCTATTTTCCACCTTAGCACATGTGATAACACATGAGATGGGTCCCAGCACCGGAGGTGGAGCCTGGAGCTCGAGAGCGTGACCCTATTGATTTAAGCATTAAGTCATGAGATTCCCGTTTTCATTCATCCACACATCCGTTCTACCTGTGGCGTGACACACGGTGACACCAGTATCCCATCAGCCATCATGGGCGCTGGGGCCAGAGGATCGACCACGATGCTGCACCAGACCCGGGGTCCAAACTGCTCTCCAGCGTGGGCCAGACGCCAGTGGGAGGTGTAGGAGCCCTCTACGGCAGGAGCACACAGCGCCACACTCACTATACCAACCTGGGCAAACAGAAAACATGAAGTGTTATCAACATGTGAAGAAAGAAGTGATATGTTGTACACAGAGCAGTATGGTGCTGAACACAACCACGGGATTCAGTGGTACAAAGAGACAACAAGAAGGATGACAAGTAGCCTACAGGGTATATTTCCAATAATAGGTGTAAATGAAAGCTTCCTCTGACCTGTCCTGGCTGGAGGAAGGGAACAGACACTTCTCTCCAACGGTCCCCAGAACCTACCGCCAGGTTTCCCCACATGAACTTCAGCTGCAGGGAACAAAACAAGACCAAACATGATGCTCATTGATCAATGCTACTTTCTTTGACTACAGTATAAAAGTATAAATCAATAATTTAGTGAGCAATTAAGTGAAAGGTGTCACTCATAGTGACGAACCCACAGATAATTATCACCAACTCCGACGCCTTAAAATACATAAGGATGGAGGAGGGATCTCTGAGGAGCCATGAGCGAGGAACCACGAGAACAGACTTCCAGGAAGTGTTTTAACGGCCGACACGCCCCCTCATTGTTCATCAGTTATGTGATTGGACGCCGCAGCCGATCGGACTGACTGACTAGAGTTTCATACCAGAGTGAAGACAGATCACATACTCTTTGTCAGTTATTAGTATTATTAGTTACTATTATTAAGTATAGTGGTGTGTACAGACACAAACTATCAAAAGTCTCTCCAGCTGTTAAAGCCGACTGACAGCTGATCCAGATGTGATCAGCGGCCGCCGTCATCAGAAACAGACGTCGCTTCACGTGAAGCGACGTCCTCGCATGGTTTCCTTGCGTCTCTCCATGCATCCCTGGTGGGAGGGACTAAGACACAAGGAAAGGACGCAAGTGAGGGAAACGGGGATGCAATTAAGGGTACATCCCAAGTCTCTTAATTGCATTCCCGTTTCCCTCACTTGGGTCCTTTCCTTGCGTCTTAGTCCCTCCCACCAGGGATGCATGGAGGAAACCATGTGAGGAGAGAGGAACGAGGAATTATGTTTTAAGAGACATGAGACGTCCTTTCCTCAATTGCGTCACGTGAAGCGACGTCTGTGTCTGATGACGGCGGCCGCTGATCACAGCTGGATCAGCTGTCAGTCGGCTTTAACAGCTGGAGAGACTTTTGATAAGTTTGTGTCTGTTCACATGATCACTGTACTTAATAATAGTAACTAATAATACTAATAACTAATAAAAACACACAGTAATCACCACTGTAGAGGTGTGTCTCTCTGTAGTATGTTAACAAACTGTGTCCTGTGTTCTGTTTATAAGCACAGGATCCATTTCTACCGGAGGAATGCGATCGTCTTATTTATGAATTATTTACGTTTTGAAATTGTGACTGTGGCGTCATTATTAAATAACCCAGAATATGATTATTGTTTCTCTTAAATGATAAAACTCATCAAACACTCAGGAATGATGTAAAACGTGTTTAGTCTCCAGCTCTCTCTGACTTTAATTGTTTTCATAATAAAAGTTATTGAGGGAAATATCAGATCATGAAAACACAAATCTTTCTAATAAATGAAGAAAGTTGTTTGTGGTCCTTTTGTTGTTCAGTCTACAATGAACATTTATTTAAACCAGATGTTGAATCAGAAAACTAATCAAATATAAAGCTTGAGTTTGATCTGTGATCCGTCTTCACTTTTTACATGTTGAACAAAATCTCAGTCCAATTGGCTGCAGCGTCCAATCACATGACTGATGAACAATGAGGGGGCGTATCGGCCGTTAAAAGACTTCCTTGAAGTCTGTTCTCGTGGGTCCTCGATCATGGCTCCTCAGAGATCCCTCCTCCCTCCTCCATCCTCGATCCTCAGAGCTAAATAAGAGCTTTGGGGCGGCCGTCAATATGGCGGCACAGAACAACTTCCGGTTCAAGTGAGAATCGAGGAGCGAGGAAACGACAAATAAGAGACTTGGGATGTACCCTCTGACTCTCACCCACCTCATCAGCTCAATCACTCTCACCTGCCACTCTGCGGCACCTACTATTTAAAGCCCAGTCTCACACACACTCACTGACTGACCAACCAACCAACAAACAAAGTCATCACTGGAGCCGAGCCACTACTTGGTCTCCAGAAGATGATATACTTCTTGATGCTCTGACCTTTTGACCAGCTCCACTGAGGGATTGAAATTTTTATTTGTATTCACAAAAAGTTGACAGACTTCGATATGATATCAACCGAGCCCATTCATTCTCCCCAGATGACGACCTTTTTCCATTTTAGACCCTCCATTACCGTTCTAATCCACCTGACACACTTCATACTTGTGGAAGAGTAGAATGGGCAACAGAAGAGTACCTTTGTGTCAGCGCTCCAGCAGATTGTTCCAGTGTTCCTCATCTTCCAGTACTTGATAAACTTGGTCCCAGGACGCAGTCGGGTTCCATCGGGAAGGTTTTCGTCCAGAAATGCAGCCGTCATGGCTGGAACCACCAGGGGACAGGGACGCTTTGGACGCCTGGGCAGAAATAAAGTCCTTTAGTCATGCATCCATCTTGAGTTGAATTGTAAACCAGGTTTGATAACTTCTTTAACATCCCAGAAGATTTAAATTAATCTTTATGTTGGAGCCATAATGTAGTTTTGTTGTTTTCTTTTATCTTTGAGGGAAACACAAGAACATACAGTTCTGACATTGCCACAGGGTGGCGCATTGACCTAAAAGTGCATACAGGTAAGTGCCCGGTGATGAGAGTCAGGAGTGTGGACGGGAAGCCAACAGCTTTTGACAGTGTCGGCGAGGAATGTCAATGCGTTGTCCTCTCCTGCGGTGTTCTGTTACTAAGCAATTAAGATGCATTGATACAAGTAAGATTGAACAATGCTGATTTAATGATCTGGTGTCAATGTGCAGCGGAATAAATGGATCAGCGGATGGAAAGAGATACAGCGCACTGGACAGTGATTTGTTTGAGGCATAGAACACGCGTCCGAACAAGTTCTTCCGTTCGCCCCCAGTGGCTCCAAGATCAAATTGGATATTTGTTAAAGTCAGTACACTTTATTTGAAATGTGTTCCTGGCATAATCTAAAACTGCGGTTCCCAAACTGTTTTTGCCAGTTGTACCGCCATGGCCCTCAAGTAGACACCACCATTTATCCATATTACATTTAGCTAGTTATTTAAATGTTTTTACATTATTTGTAGCTATTTCACCATCTACTATCTTTCACATTAATCTATTACTTTTAGCCATCTATTTCAACCATTTATCCATATATGCTTTCCACTTCTGTGCTTGCTTGCTCATTTATAGCTGGATAAATACAATTATTTCTATTTGAATCGTTATTTATATTATTTCACATTGTTTTGAGCTACTCCACAATCCTCTATGATTACAAATACTAAATAACGCTGCTTGAGAATCACTGAGCTGCACCTTTTAGTGAATATTTTTTTTAATTCACTGAGACCTGAGAAATGATCTTTTTGGTATGTTATAACCGATCTAGTTTGGAGCATGTTATGTTTAGTAACCTACTCAGGGCTGTTGTGCTGGGTGGCTCGAGGCTGCAGAAGGACAGGGGAGGAGCTTCCATCTCTGTGGGAGGAGCTCCACTGTAGGCCCCGCCTTTCCATTCTTAGCTGTTTTCGGATCTCCTTGACCTCAGCTTTCAGCAGGCGCTTCTCTGCTTTCAGCCGCTGCTTCTCCGCCTTTCGGAAACTGCGGTCACCTCGCCTGTAGAACCTGGAAGGGACACCAGTGTTGGAGCCAGTGTGCCACATCGACAATGACTCCCTTAAAACATCAAATGTGCCACGACCACAACCTCCGCAGCCAAGTGTCCCGCATTCAATAGATCTGCTTTTAGCATGACAATTTTATATATATAAACTTCATTAACATTTTTTTCAGTTATGTTAGTTTTTTAATTTAATGTACGTCCATTTAATGACATAAAAAGACGTACATTAAATGGATAGTGTTTTGAAGTGTGGTGGTATCAGGTACTTATCCACAGTCAGCATTAGTATGTGTTGGTTAGTTTGGATTCCCCAAAATAAGCCACACAATAACACTAACTAACTAACTAACAGATCGAGGCATACTGCCATATTCTGCAAGGTACGTTTTTTATTTCTATTTTGCCCCAATGGAGTGTGGTGGCTTTGGCGAGAGCATAGATCGATGCAACAGTTTCAGTTCCCTGTTTCCGAGAGGGGAAACAGCTGTCTCATGGCAAGGTCAAATATTCTAAATATAGCTTACAGATATTCATTTCTTTTAGGCGGGCCTTTCTAAAGTCTGTTTTTCTGCTGCCCAGTCAACAGCAGAATATTACTTTGCTTCCGTGCGTATACTGCTGTCTGCTTCTCTAAGCTGGGGGCGTGTCAACCGCCGTACACTGTAGTAATACACTGATCATACAACCCCTCTTCAAAATACCCGAACTATCCCTTTAAGCTGGATTCAACACCCGAGCTATCGTTTTAAGCTGGAGTCAACACCCGAGCTATCCCTTTAAGCTGGAGTCAACACCCGAGCTATCCCTTTAAGCTGGAGTCAGTACTTTTGGCAAAAGTACAGACTGTCAGCTAATGTAGTATTTATTTGAATATCTAAGTTATACTTTCAGGCATAAAGCATCTATATTTGAATCAGCATACGGAGCTCATCACCTAACACTTTACCTGCAGCGCACTAATGTATGGATGTCACTTAACGTTTATACTGCTCTTACTTAATGTTCTACTACCTGTTTACATCATATTTACTCCAGAGATAACGGGTCCCACGTTCCCCGTTAGCCTAGTGTTTCTGTGTGTGTTCTCAGTGAAGGAGGCCTTTGGCGCATCATTTTCACTCTTCTACCGAACTAAATTGGACTAATAGCGATAAAGAATATGAATATGAAAAAATTACATTAACTGCAAAAAGCTGTTGCTGCAAATTCGTAATTGTCGGTAGAATCTATCTTTACAAATTACGGACATGGTGCGACCTCCACAATTATTCAAATGACTGGAGGTTCCCATGTAATAATAGTCAGTGTAAATAGGGCTCAAGACAATCAGCATGATAAACATCACATTGACATTAGCACTACTGACACCGACTGTAAACTCTTCTTTAGTTCTGTAGTAATCAGCGGTGGAATCCTATGCTACTTTATATTGGACTCTAACAGTTGTAACCCACAGAAGACAATCCAAAGATGTGTACCATGATCCAAAAATACATCACTATACACAAACATGTATTTTTTTATCTGTATTATGTAAAGTCATATCTTCAAAAATACAGAGCAATTTGCATAAATGACTCTGTAAACACATCATTTCATATATGTTCTATAGCTTTACATGTAAAGTGATATATATGCATTTACGAAGCGATTTGTTCACATGAAATTACTTTTGCACATTTGTGGATTGCTTCCCGTCTCTCATAGCCCATGTAACGTTTGTGACTTCCCTCCTTTTTATTTGCCGAGTTTTGTCCAATAGAGCGCTGCAAGATGACAGTTTTTTGTTGGCCAACCCAGAAGTTAGCATCGCACCGCTTCCCTCCACTTTTCCATTGGATTTGAGATTATTGCAGAAAATGAGCTCTGTGGTAAACACAATTTTATGATACTTACACACTATGTTTAGCAAGATAATCTTTACAACTGATCACCACACTTATAATTGTTGAAGCCTGGACACAATCGGCAGAAGTGAAACGCTAATGTTATGCGATAAGATGACCTCATGGTTGCATGAGCTTGAGCATCCCCTCGTTGGCATGATGACACTTTTTTGTCTCATTTAGCCACTACCTTTTTTAAAAGCTGTAAAAGCTTATAAATTCATGAGAGGTGTATTCACTGGTATGGTCTTTATCGTAGGACAGAATGTTAAATGCTCTTAAGCTTGTGTTAACCACAGACTCTATTTCAGCCATCTAACCAAAAACCCATTGAAATAAACTCTAGTCTCTACTATTTAAAAGTATGAACAATGTCTTTCCAACAAGATGGCAGGTTCATACCTGCTGTGGTCTGGGGCAGGTGATCCGTGCTCCGGGATGGACAGAGGAGTCCTGGCTCTCACCAGGTTGTGACTGGGATCATGAGAGAAGCTGCAGGGCTCGCACAGAGTACAGGAAGTACACACACTGACCAGAGACAGAGGGAAGAAGACGGATGGAGAGAGAGAGAGAGAGAGAGATGAGAGAATTCCAAAAAAACAGAGGCAGGAAATACCTTAGAGTCCACATCACTGTCCACTGAGACAGGCTGCTTCTTTCATCTGCAGTTCAAGTCAAATGGAAGGATGAGCAGAGCAGCTGGCGTCAGACCTTTCAGGTAAACCAGAACTGAATCCATTCTGAAGTTTCAGATAAAGAACACATGTCTGTGTAGTAAATGGTAAGTGGACTGTACTTGTACATCTCTTTTCTAGTCGTCCGACCACTCAAAGCTCTTTAACACTACATGTCATCATTCACCCATTCACACACTGATGACAGGGCTACCATGCAAGGTGCCACCTGCCCATCAGGACTCTCTAACATTCATACAACATTCATACACAGTAGGCACAGCTACAGGAGCACCTTGGGGTTAAGTGTCTGGCCCAAGGACACATGGACTAGAGGAGCCGGGATCCTCTGACTGAAGGACGACCTGCTACAGCCACAGTCACCAGAGTAGAGTAGTGTATACACTGTGTCTCCTTCCTCACCTTTCTTTTCATCCTCTCAAACAGAAGAGTTGAATATCCCAATGCACCGGTCAGCCATCAACTTTGACGCTAATTTTGTCTTTTCTTTTCTAACTGTTAACCGACCCTCGTTAACCAATCATTGACCGATTATATTATCATTTCTGCAATTATTAATTTGACTACTGACTTCTCTCACTATATGTATCATTTCTGTCATATGTTGTAATTGTATTATGTTGTTCATTCTGTACTCATGATACCTATTGCACTGCTGGACCCCTCCTTGGTTGGTTTTTCCCATTTATTTCCCCCGTTGAAGGGTCTTCCTGTTCCCTTGTGAGGGTCCTGGGACAGAGGATGTCATGTGTTGTACAGGTTGTAAAGCCCTCTGAGGCACATCTGTGATTGGTGATATTGGGCTATACAAAGAACATGAATTATGAATTTAAAGTAGACCATGAATATGAAATGTGAACTTACAGATCATTACTATCCCTCCTCGTCATTGTGGAGGTTCATTTATGGCTCTTTGCCGTTACACCTACAGTCTATGGGTCACACTCGTCTCTTTGATTCTTCAGTTAAATTGTGTTACACACCCTCTGGTGTCTTAGAGAAAAATGCAGCTAGTACGAACAAAGCATTAGTCTCCACCACATCAATTAGTTATGCTGCGAGCTCGTCACATACGTGTCTGCCTACATGTCAGGGGTTTAGGGCAGTGTACTGCAAGCACAGCGTGACATCGGCAAGTGTGTTTATTTGTAGGTGAATAAATGCTACACTCCACTCCACTCGAGGCCCATGCTACGTTCTTGTGTCTTGCTTGCCAGCCACTTGCTGATTTACATGAAGGGACTTCACCCGAAGATTAGCAACAACTCCAGGTGCTCCAGTTCAGGCACACCTGACCTTTAGGATGGATCAGTGGTGAGAAGCCTCTCCTTTGAGTTCTGCTCAGCTCTTTTTGAGTTTTAAATGTTAACTGACTGCATTTATCGGTTTCCATTTTTCATAAATTGAAAGTGGCATGAACTCTGGTGATCCCTGGTCAACCCTGGTGATCCCTGAACGGATGCTTGGTTACAGGACTGTGATGCTGAATCAGTAGAGTTCTCCTGAGGCCTCTTCACAGTCCGCATTCTTTTCTTTCAAAATAAGAGTTTTGAAAATAAATACGAGCTCACATTGTGTCCATCTCGTTTACACACGGACCCTGAGACTTTTGTCCGTCAATCAAGTTTTCAGAACATTTTCCGCATTGTTTGCATCTGTTGGAGTTGTTTGAGCACTCAGGAGCAGTGTGAATGCAAACTGGTGTCTGAGAAGCTGATTCACTTCATTCATTCTTCTCCCAGCACACAGCAAGACAAACAAAGTGAAGGACACAGAGATGTGGAATGATTGCAGATCAGCTGGAGAGTATAGCATGAGTCTGGAGAAGTAGATAAGTTCCAGCACTACATTTAAAGTGACTTGTGATAGCCGGCTAGCTGCCGATAGCACATACCTGCACTGGTAGCCTCCTCCCGTGGTCTGCCCCCGGCAGGAGGAGCAGGGAGGTGAGGAGGAGGACAGAGCTCCAGGCAGAGTGGAGGAGGAAACCTCGGGGACCTGCTGAGCCTCTGCTCCTCCTACCGCTTCCCCTCTACCTCCCCCACCTCCTGCTCCTGCTCCTCCTCCTCCTCCCCCCAGGGGCTTGTGAATGCAGCACTGTCCAGAGAACTCCCGGCAGATCTTCTCCACCGCCTCACGGACTACCTGGTCCTTAAACTGGAGGGATAAAAGGGGGGTTGATGGGAGATGGGAGGAGAGCGCTTATTTAGTGTTTTTGTGCTGTTGAATTGGTTCACAGCTCATGTGTCAGAAAGACTTCCCCTCCATCAGGTTGTTCTTACCTTCTCCATGTAAGAGGTGAACCAGGCTGGAGGAGTCTTGTCTTCTTCTTTGGTGCCCTTTATGTCTTTCAAGATCACCTGATCAACACAAGTTATGATATTCATTAGATAAAACATGCATATTAACATCTTTAATAAATCATTGTCAATGTAAATGACCATACAGCTTTCATTGTAATTTCATCCGCCAGTTCTTCAATAAATCATGTTGTCTTCTTCTCATATTGTCCACACTAATACACTATAGCATGTGAAGCATGACCATGCTATGCTGCACACGCGTAACCTGCTGCATGTGAAGTTCACACTTCATGCACGCCTGGGAGAAGAAAGGGGAATATTGTTCATATCAATCCGAGAGCACTTTCAATGTGCTTTTATTTTCTTATTGCTTCGGTGATACATTTTAAGGAATTAAAGCAAAACTCAAAGTATCAACTGACAACTTGTCAACAAGCTCACTACTGTCCGCCAACTGGACCCATTTAGTCATCATTCCTACACTCTACAAAGTGACTCAGCTGCAGTCTATTAGCACTATAACAGTTCTAAGTTATTGATTTAGATAAACCTTTTAAGTTGCAATGATTGATTTTAATGACATAATAATGCCAGTGACCAGAAAATGCCTTTGCTGCTGAAAATGTGTGTGAATGCTGACAGCTGAGCGGAACAGCAAAGCATTGCACTGTACTGCAGTGAGTCGTACTACTACATGACTCTGTACATGACTCAATACATGACTCAGTACATGACACTGTACATGGAAATTTACATTTTGAAGTCAGTGCAGAGTTTGAGAGCAGGCCAACAAAGTCAAGCACTGATGGTGATGTTACTGTAATGAGAGAGCAAACCAACTAACTAACAATAACTCGGCAGACCACGGCCAGCCTGTTTCTTATATGCTGTTTATCTAGTTCAGTATGACTTGCCTTGGTTCTCCGTCTTTGCCAGTTCTGCTCTCCTAGACACAACCAGCACCAATCAAGACTTTTAAGCTGTAAACTTCATCACGCTGCTTTGTCTTTGCTCCACGGATGTATTTAAAGAAACTTCTTATTTCAATTTTCAAATATTCAAAAAAATGGTATGCACGACAAAATGAGCATGAAATAACATTTTTGTATAGTTTCTGATTTACTAAATTTTGTTTGTGTATATGGAAACTCTTGACAGCTCTAATGACTCCGTTATGGAGCTCATTGAGTTATTGACAACAAGAACTATGATAATGAGAAGACATGAAATGCTCCATGTATTCGTTAATGAAGGGGTGCAAAGAGGTTACCGAGTGAACCATTTAGATGTTTCAGATTACTCCAAAGGTTTGAAGAGTCTCAATGTATTGTAAAGAGGTGGCAGTGTATGTATACACATATAT